AATTTTCCACTGACTTTATGTGAACCAATCACTGCACTTTAAGGAACCCAAGTACCCTGGGATATCCTAAGGACTGTTTAGTTTTTGGTGGAAATCTGTCTATAATAATTGTCCAATTTGCATAATTTAACTTATTTTATGCCTTCTATAGATATCTCAATAACGACTCATTAGATTTAAACCTGATATATAGGTGTTCTGGAGGTAATCCATAGAAGTGATTAGTTTAGGGTTGGTACTCCGTGTATCCTATATTGTCGTTAGAATAGAAATGAACTGTTTAATCCTCCAACTTGCGTTATTAATGGTCTAACTACCTTGTACATTAATTTTGATTTATTTAAATCATTGAATCATGTAAATACGTAATCATCGTTTCCGCGGCTGTTTTTCCTGATGTGATTAGATATAATGCAGATTTCGAAATTGCTACAAATAAATTAAATATGGTGATTGAGATGAAAACAGATCTTGAACGTTTTGTACATGTGCGTCTCCTCTAGTGGAGATGAAAAAAAAAAGAACTAAATTTGGATATCACCTCGTGGTGCTTTAAGGCTGAACTAGGTGAATCCAAATAATAATATTGTCCTTGTCCCCAACGCCGATGAACTTCCGCATCATGACTCTGGTTCTCCGTCACAGTGGCGAGGCGTATTTGCCGAGTTGCTAGTTCGAATATTGTGTTTAATGTTTATATACTCGATCACAAATAAATATGCAAGCATTTGACCAATAGCAGCTTGTTTGTAAAAACTTTTCAACTTCAATTTATTTGAAATAATCACAAATCATTCTTATTCATGTAAATCAACTGACTAATATGCCAAGTTTGCAATTTGTTTGCAAAATATTGTTGGGTAGTTTCAAAGTACGCAACATATGCATTCAATGTCAATTCAAGCGTAAGAACAAAACAAGATTAGCTTTGTCTTAAATTTGCCATATCGCATTTGATATATTCACATAATTACATAGGCTAGCCGCAAATGAACAATACGATATAATCCGGGTACAATTTGAAGAAAACAATTATTTCACACATTTAAATGTATGCAACATTGGGGGAATGTCATCCCATTTGATGGCATAATATTTCTGATTTTATAGTTTTGAGCTTTTTTGTATGCTGTCAGCTCTTTCTTGGTAACTTTCTTTGTCTATTTTGTCAAATATCGCATTGATGTGCCTGGTTGAAGTTTCTCTTAATAGCTGCCAGTGTATCTCTGTGTAACCCTCTTGGCCCTGCAATGAGCAAACGAAATGACACTAGACATTAAAATGAGCGAATTAGTGAATGGAAGGAGAGTTATTCTGCCGGAGGATTATCGACTGAATTGAAAGCTATGTCATTTATTTACTTTCGTTATTATGAGTTCATTGAGGGCCGTTCGGGCAAAGAAAATGAAAAAAAATGGGTCACCCGACATTTTTCGATTAATAACAAATGTCATGAAATATGTTAAAAGGAAAAGCATTGTAATACTGCGTATATGTACACAATTTTACTTTATCGCTCCCAATTTTATATGCCCCTCCACACATATATTTATCTAGATGGGGGCATTTACAATTGATTTAGGAGGAGGTGCAACGCTTTTT